TGCGAGGTCTCAACCACGGGCCTTAAAGCTCCCCAAACCTTACATGAACCGGCTTGAAGTGCAGCCCTCTGGTCTTCAGCCGTCAGTAAACACGGCTGACGGTTTTAGGGTTCGGATAGCCGGTGTGCAAATCCAAGGATCCTGTTGCAAGGCCTGGCTCTGGTTCTTTTCATTTGTTGTCTTGATATGGTGGGGTCTTCGGGGCTTCGATGCTAAACCAACAGTCCAGCTCTATGCCAAATCCCAAGTACAACAAGACAACTCTGATTAACGCCGCCGCTATCGTCATCTATGGTGGACATGCCTGGCATGACCATCGATGAGAATTACGTGTGGGATTGAACGCAAAGAATTATTACTATTGGAACGGAAGCACCGACATTTGTTTGATAGGAACCTCGTCACAGCGGTCTGATGATTCCCTGAAGAGAACCCACAACATCTTACCGAGGCTTCATGCTAACAAGATCGCAAAGAGGATGCAGTTAAGCAGTAAGTGTCAAGCCTTCTCTTCAAGCGCAAATGCTTGTCGACAGGAGCGCCTGTGCAGTGGCCATGGGACAGGATTCGGCTGGATGCCAGAACACTAGTAAACGCAAGTATTTCGGCTTATTGTCTTCGTTAGCTTTGACCCGGTTGTGGTTTGATTAAACAGCCGCATCCTTCGAACACATTACGCGCATGCAGTGCTGTTGCTTTCGAGGTGGAGACAGCTCGGGCACAGTGGAAGCACTTAGGCTTCAACTGTCCGAACCTCTTGCGGTTTTCTGAGCTTTCGATACATGCATACAAGCATGTTACAAGTACGTGCATACATACAAACAATTATTGTTGCTGTTGCTGTCTCTGTCCATCTTGCTGCTTGCCTCGCTGGCTGGCCGGCTGGTTGTCCCTGTCTATATAGCTAGTCCGACTGTTAGATAAATAGATCACTATAGATAACCAAATAACTAGACATCGTTCTTGGCTTAAGGGCATGATCTGAGAGAGAACCGCTTGAGTGCCGCCCAAGGCCTACGCTAATGCTCACGGCCTGGCTTCAGGGCTTCTCCATGTTCCGCGCATTATTGCATGTTGCGGCCGTGTCCGGGGCTGCAGCCAGATCTGTTCGAGCTTCCAATACCCTGGGACATGAAGGCTTCCAGCAGCTTAGTGGGCTGCAAATGTGAGCCTGCGATTCTGGTGTATCTACCCTTTTCACAGCTAGGTGGCATCCCAAGACCCTTGCAGCCTTCTGCGCTGCCGCGGCCCATGGGGGCACGGGGGCGAGGAGCTCATGGGCACGACAACCCATCAGGTGGGTGAAGGGACGACGGTGTCAATGCTGAGGCTGTGGAATATGTAGTCTGAGGCGGCTACTGTAAGGGCAATAATAATTAGAATCGGGTTTCGGGCTCCTCTATAGTATTATAGGTAATTATTGAGGCCCCTATATTGCTGAGGATCAGGTTGGGGGTGTCTTGACCAAACGGCCGCGGGGTTTTGACTGTTTGGGCTTGCGGTTTGGGGGTTGGTGTTTGCAGTGCCCATGGGCCTCAGCCAACGGCAGCTCATTTCACCACAGAAGAGGCCAGTCATGTCTGTCCCTGTCTCTTCCCTCCTAAACCCGGCGAACCCTCAACCCCTCACCCTCAACCCCTCAAGCAGCCCAAAGCCTACGTAGTGCAGTCCAAGGATGGTTGCAAGCTTCACAGACAGGCTTTTCACGTCGGCCATCCTGGTTCCTGGGGTGAGACCGCTTCTTGCAGCTGTTCAATCAAGGGTGAGACGGAAGTCTGAAGTGCAATTGCATAATTTAGGGCCCTTAATAATTAGAATAGGGTTTTGGGGCCCATTATACTATATATATATATATATGATAAGGAACCCCAGAATCGTATTCGGTCGCGCATGTGTTTTAAGTTTAGGGCCGGGGCGGATGATTCATTTGGACACCTAGGCTGCAGCATTTCAAGACCTCGTTGCACCTGCTCCAGCCAGTGACGTCACCTTGCAAGAAGGGTCAACACAAGATAAAGTTACAGAGCCAGTCTCGAGTCTATGCGACGTTTTTGTGGACAGATTCTTTGCACGGTGCTCCTTCACCTTCCCCCCCCCAAGCCACAACTTCTCTTCATTTATGCACAATGGGCATGATGACATGATCAAAGAACCCGTCCGCTGCTTTGCTGTTCGACTCATGAACCCTTAAGCCTAAATTATTAGGGTTTGGGGTTTTGGGGTTGAGTTTAGGGTACCCTTACCCTCTAAACCTTTCAAAAAGCACATGCTCGAGGTTCGGGCGGAAGAGGCTTGAAGCTTGCACTGCCAAGCCCAAAACCCTCCTCTATCTTAACCCTAAACGCTAACCCTTGGTTGCACAGCATGCTGCAAGGACTCGGCTTCCTCACAAGGTCTTCAAAATTAAAGTAGACTTTGGGGTTGTATGCTACAGTCTTGTGAAAAAGAGTGCTAAACAGTAACTAGAAGGGCATACGATGATACTAGTTATTGAAACTCCAATATTAGTTCTGCACATGCAACCCTGTTCTGGGCTCGCGGCACAAGAATGGCTCATGGCCTGTGCAGAGGATGGGCTATAAAGCATAAGATATGACACAGTCGAATACCCAATACATGTAATACATGTAGTACACAAATTAGTATATGGATGCAACACCACCATTACTACCTCGGAACCCCTTGGTATGACGAAACCTGAGATCCCCGCTTCGACCCCTGGGTTCGCGTGCAAAAACGCAGCAGGGCACTTCGCACCCCTACGAAAAGTTAAAATCCAGGTACCCGTAGAGGGAACATGAGGAAACCCAAAAGAGTTATGGGAGTTAAGGGTCTAAGGGCCAAGCTAAGTGCTGAAAAGGATATTATCCCAAGCGAGAAGGCGCTGGCTTCAGGGTCTGGAAATGCCAGGTAGTGTCATTCAGGACCTCCGTTTCGTGTTCGTGCTGGAAATCGAAACACCATTGCAGGTTGCTGATCCTGCGATAGTGGTCCGGCAGGCCATGCCACCAAAGGGCTCAAAACCCTCAAGTCGTCAATCTTGGACTGTCGGAGAAAACGGAGACTACTTTATTGCTAAGACCATGTGAGCTTTATAAACACACACACATACACACATTGCATGCTTCTTTCTCTTTTGCTTGGTCTTCTTCGTTAAACTTACGCGTATACAGAAAACGTCCTGCTTGAGGTGCAAAGGGCAATGCAGTGTTACGCCTTTGGTATCAAGATTGAAACCAGAGTTTGAACTTCGGTCGCCATGCATTATCCTTGGAGTTTTCAAAGCAGCTTCTGCGAATCCCTCAACCCTAAACCCGACTCCCTGGCAAATCAAAAAGCCTGTGCATGCAGCTTGCCTCGAGCTGCTGCAGCGCCTCTGCAGGCTCCAAGACAAATAAAATGAAAGAACCACACTGATAGTCATAGCAATGATAATGAAAGTCATCGTCACCATCATCGTTCCTGTGTGCACGTGTTCTTATCAAATACTATCACCATTATGATCATCGTCGCGATCATCATCCTCATCATTACTTGTGCAAATACACGTCCTACAGCTATACCTGCACGAGGGTCTTATATGCTTCAGCGTCTAGCCATGATGGGCATATATATATATATATACACGCATACATATACATATACACATATATGTATGTATGTATATATATATATACATATCACAGAGTTTCGACCACTGGAGGGCCCAGACTTGGGCTAGTCGTCGTCGTGAGCAGCTTATGCAAAGGCCACATCTGGGAGGAAGCGCACGGAAGGTCCGGTAATATCAATATCGGTCAATGCCTCCGTTCGAAGCCTTAAACTAAACCCTAAATCCTAAAGAACAACTCAAGTGGAGCGGCTAGAGCGGCTAAACCCCTAAACCCTACTCCCTGAAAGGCCACTTCCCTCAAGGCCACTTCCCTCGACCCGTTCACGACGGCTTACATGTACAGTTAAGGCTTGAGGTTTCTTATGAACAATACTACGAAGTAGCAATAAGACATGCTATGATCACTTTATGGAATCTTATCGTATTTATCATGGTTACTTTTATTCATACTAATAAATGTTTCTATGATTTCGATTGTTGATATTTTGAACAGTGTTATTACACTACAAAATGTTTCCATTGCAAACATCTCTATAGATTAAAATCGTTTCTATTACCGTAAAAACCATAATATGGTCTCAGGTGCCCAAAGCCCTAAACGTTACACCGGCCTGTGAATGTCGATGTTCTGCGGAGCTGCCCTCGATGGCCGCAGCTCTGACATGAGCACCTTCCCACCGGCTGGCTATGTTTTTGCACACTCAGAATGAATGGACACATACAAGATCATACAAGTACATTTATGTCTACACATACGTACACATATACACATACACATACCAGATTTGCTAAGTATATATATATATATATATGTACTGACGGTGAATATGTGTAATTTGTAGGTAAACAGATAGATAGGTAGACAGATAGATAGATAGATAGATAAGTAGATAGATAAAGAGACATATAGATAGAATGCCTTTCTACATATATATATATATATAGATAGATAGATAGATAGATAGATAGATAGATACACACATAAAGAGAAAGTCGAAAGTGCCGTTTGTAATTCAGCTCTTCCGTCAGCATATGGTTGCCACGGCAACAAAGGTATCCCGTGTGTTGAGAACAGCTGAAACATCTTGATCCGTTGAGTCTCTACGTCGCTGCCTCCCCAAGCGAAATATCTTCGCTGCTCTCTGCACTAGTCTTTGAAGCTTCGGATCCACCGATAAACACTCATGCACAGAAGCTTTTGCAGCGCAACTTGTTTCTGCATTCTACTCTGAAGTGTACATTTGAGACTGTGAATGCTGAAAGCCCGCAACATACCTGCGCATCCGCACGATCCAACCATGCTGGCGATCTGCAAGCTGATTTCTGGCGTGACAATGCTGTGACATTGCGGTTTTGTGAATTGAAATTCGTCAGTGCCAGACTAGATTCAGACTGCCAAACCGGCGGACAGACTCCGAGAAAAAGCGGCATGGCCTGGATCTTGTTGCGACGCCTCCATGGTAGCAAGCCAATGCAAGGACAGCTCCCAAAGGCCACCTGCCGGAAAAGCATGTGACCCTCACTGACATAAGTCAAAATTTGGTGGACAGCCCTTATTCTCTGTCTGATCAACGAATATGAAGATAAACGATTTAGGAGTTTAAATTTCAATTTTGATGAATAAACGCTAATTTCTTGAAGACAGACTTTGAGAATAAAGGAACCTATTTTTGATGAGAAACATGAAACGGAAGCAATATTCCCAAACCGTAACCCTGAACCCTGAACCGTCCGGCATTTGCAGGTTGGCCGAGGCGGGCAGGAGTCTAGTGACCAACTTGGCAGACGCTGAAAACTCACCGAAATACTCACCCAAAACAGACCTAAGAACTCTGCAAGATGTGCCCTGACTATCGGACAAAGCCGCTGTTGTTTTCCGGCTGCACTCATTTCCGCCTGCCTGCGATCGGGACGCTTCGGCTTTGTTTCTGGCGTCTCTCCAACCTCGTCTAGGTGGCTGCTGCGCCTCTTGCGCTTTGGAGTCAGCAGCTGCGAGTCTCGCAACGCAGAGGGATGATCCAGCTCGTGGTCGACAACCCTGCTCACGGTCTCTGACTTTGTCGACAGGGCATTAAACATGATCTCGTCAGGTGAACCCCGACCACCAGCGACCAAGTAGTACACGAGCACTCGTCTGGCTTGCTGCCCCATCCTGTGTATCCTGGACTCTGCTTGGTTGAGCGCGCTAGGTGTCCAACACAACTCGGCGAAGATGCACGTGTCAGCCTGGGTGCTGGGTGCTGATTAAGGAATTTAATTGAAGTTACCACAGTAGGGATCTGTAATATGATTTCCTTATTATAGTAACTTAAATTAAATCCCTTAACCAGAACCCAGCAGCAATGTCCAGATTCAGCCCGGTGCCACATGCTGTCAGTGCCAGAACAGCGAAGCGACAGCGATCAGCTGACTTGAACATGCTCAACTGCTTGCTCCGCTCGTTTGGACTCGTTTCGCCCGTGATGTGGACCCACGAATCGCCACAGCTGCCCTCACCGAACTGCTTCCTGAAAAACTCCGCTAACTTCTCATGGACGCACTTGTGGTGAGCGAAGATCAAGACCTTGGTCTTCACCCCTGCCTGCTCATCAAAAAACGAGGTGTGCAACCAATCGCAGACTGCGACCTGCTTTGCTTCTGCCAGCAGCTTGAAAATCTTCATGATCTCGTGGCTGGGCAGACTGTCGATCTCATCGCCTTCTGGTCTCTCTTTGGCGGCCTTCTCGAAATCTGCAATAACTTGCTGCTGCTTGGTGATGGGCCCCATCTCAGATGGGGTCAGCTCGAGGCGCACCTTCAAGCGCCTTTTTGGGGGTAGCTCTGAAAGCACCTCTTCCTTCGTCCGACGCACCATGAAGAAGCGCAACAGCTCGGAGAGCGTTTCCTCATGCTCTTTGCTCACCTAGGCTGCCCAGTAACCTAGGGTTCAATAGGACACCGTTTTTGGCTCAAGGGGTGTATGAGCAAACCTATAGAATACAGGTACTACGGAAAAATCCTAGTCACTCCAATCCAACGATTGAGTGTCCTCCATCCGGTGTTAAACGGCCTGTTCTCGGCACAGAAATGCGCGCACCACTCGTCGACACGTGGCAAATGAATGCGGTTGCCAATAACAGCAGACATGAGTGGGAGGATATCGCCGGCTGACGCATTCGCAAGCGGTGTGCCCGTCATCAAGATCGCTCGCGTAGCTCTGTGCAGGATTGGAATCAAGGTCTGTGTTCGCTGCGAATTGAAATCCTTGAGCGCGTGGGCCTCGTCGATGATCACTGTGCGGTACGGCTGGCCATTCGCTGTGACGCGTAGATGGCCATTGCTTTGATCACCCACACCTTTTGCAACACCCTTGCGCTGCTTCTGTCCAACGACGAGGCCGTAAGAAACCAAAACAAATTTCGCTGTCGGTCTGATCTCCACTGGCACTTTCTGCTTATTCTTCATGTGCATCACCTTGCGAACGACTTGAATGCCCTCTGCTGGAATGTCCGGCAACCATCGCTGAATCTCATCGCTCCACTGGTCGAGCAGCACCGTGGGTGCCACGACCAAAACCGGCCAATCCTTCCTGTAGTTTGCACAAACCGCCAGAGCGATGACGGTCTTGCCCAGCCCCATCTCGTGGCCCAGCAGCACGCGGCCAGAACGCTGGAGGGCATACTCCACCGCACTGCGTTGGTACGGCAGCAAGCTGAACCCATCTTCACTCCGTTGCACTTCCTGCTGCTGCAAGACCACCCCACTCAGGTCTCCTATCTGCTCATCAAGGCCAACAGCCACAGCGTCGCGGAGAAAGTTCACGTGTCTGTCTTCTGCGTTCAGCTCTCTCAGAAGCCTGGGGTCCTATTCAGGAATCTAATTTAGGTTACCACACTAGGGATCTGTAATGAATGATGGTGTTTCTTCATCATGGTAACTTATAAAACAACTCCCTAAACCCTTAACCCTAAACCCTATTATGATACCTTCAAAAAGCTCAAAACAAATCCCTTACCAAGAACCCAACAGGGATGTCTTGCACAAATATGAGCGGTTCTTTGTTATGGTAACTTAGGTTAAACCCTTTAACAAGAACAGAAGCCTCCCTAAACCCTGAACCCTAAACCCCTAAACCCGTAAACCCTAAACCCCGAACCCCTAAACCCTAAACCCTGAACCCCTACACCCTGAACCCCTAAACCCCTAAACCCTAATTAAATCCTTTAAGAAGAACCCAGAAGCCTCTGCTTCAGGTCCAGGAAGGTCGCATCTCTTCCCACCGCAGCCAGCGTCAGCAAACGATCGCCGGAGAGGAGGCTTACAGCGAGACCATTGCTGCCTTAGGGTTTAGGGGTTTAGGGTTTAGGGTTTAGGGTTTAGCGGTTTTAGGGTTTGGTGTTTAGGCTTACAGCGAGACCATCGCTGCCTTGGTAGCACCAGTAACCATATCTACGATTTTCAGGGTTTAGGGTTTAAATCTGGGGCCCAGTAACCATATGTATGTGTAAGGGTTTAGGGTTAAGGGTCCCAGTAACCATATTATGTATATGTAAGGGTTTGGGTTTAAGGGCCCAGTAACCATATGTATCATTGTAAAGGTTTAGCGTTTAGAGTTTAAGGGCCCAGTAACCATATCTATAATTATACAGGCTTTGGGTTTAGGGTTTGAAGGCTCAGCCACCATGTCTATCAGTACAAGGGTGCCCTCTTTGGGATTGGTTACTCTGCAAGGGAACCGAAACCCCCCCAAAAAGAAGGGTAAACGACGCCTCTGCACTAGCAAGCCACCCCACTTGAGGCTGCAGACGCGATCGCCGCCCTGCTTCCGCTGGGAAAGTTGCTGGCGCAGCGGTGGAAGCCAGTTTGGCTCCATGGGGTTTAGGCTTAGGGTTTAAAGTTTAGGGTTGATCGGGTTGCGGAGGCCGGAGCGACATACAGAGCTTGAACCTCGGTCACGACCTCGGTCAGCACGCATGGTATGCAACCATTTCCAAGGGAGCGGGGCGCTTTCTACCTAAAACCCCCTTCTCCCAACCTGTTCCCCAAACCCTAACCCCAGTTAAACCCTTACCCCCCGACCCTAAACCTAATCACCTCCAAAACCCAAGGCAAATAGTCAACACTAGGGTGCAGAACAACTATGGGTGATGCTCTGGACTTTTCATTCTGAAAGAGGCACCAGGAAGTTTAAGACCCGCTTTTCAAGGGGTCACGGAAGCAAAACACAAAAGCAGTCGTAGTGCATAGTCCATAGTCAGTAGTCGGTAGACGTCGTGGTCGCAGGTACACACCTGCGCTCGCACTCGTAGTCGTAGTAGTGGCAGAAGTCGTTGTCGTAGTCGTTAGCAGCAGCGGCAGCAGCAGCAGCAGCAGCAGCAGCAGCAGCAGCAGCAGCGGTAGGAGTAGCAGTAATGGTAGTAGTAGCAGTAGCAGTAGTAGTAGCAGTAGCAGTAGTAGTAGGAGTAGCAGTAGGAGTAAGTAGTAGGAGTAGCAGTAGGAGTAGTAGGAGTAGCAGTAGTAGTAGTAGTAGTAGTAGTAGTAGTAGTAGTAGTAGGAGTAGTAGTAGTAGTAGTAGTAGTAGTAGTAATAGTAGTAGTGGTGGTGGTGGAGGTGGTAGTAGTAGTA